ATATTTGCAAAAGGGACATGAAGGTGCTCAGCATCAACATTGAAACTTGGGAGGACCTCGCTGCCGATCGCGCCAACTGGAGAAACACTCTCCATAAACAGCTGAAGATCGGTGAAGAGGAATTAATGGTGGCGGCAGAAGAGAAGCGAGCGCATCAAAAGGAACAGGCAGCCAACAGACCAGCGTCAACGCACATATGTGACCTCTGCAACCGGGACTGTCACTCTCGTGTCGGTCTCCTTAGTCACAAGAGACACTGCTCTAGACGAGCAATCAATATGAGCTAACAATGGACAGATGCTTATCCATGGTCAAACCTGGCCGAAGGAGGCCTACAGAAAAATAGTCAGTATAAAATATGATAGCAAAAGGGTTGCAAAGAGTCACATATAATTAACTTTTTTCATTATGTACATCTATGTTTCCATATCTATGAAACAGATGTAATGCTAAAAATGACAATGACTTTAATTTAGCTAACTTTAAAGTAAAATAAAGGTTTAACACTGTGTCAAAAGCTGTTATTTATTGTTAAATTATATACAGCCAGTATAAGACTTGAAATTGTTTGTTTGTTTTAAATATATATAGCAGAATTGGTCTTTTGAAAATTTAAAAATTAGTTTGCATACACAAAATACCACTATTAGAAAGCAAACACTTATGAAAAAGTGATGAAAACACCTTTTAAGAATAACTTCAAAAACTTGATCTATTTTATTAAATTAAAAAAGTGACAGAAACATCCTAGTATACTAAGTTTAAAATCTGACTTATTTTGATAAATTCTTCATACCTGTGCATCTTTTAAATTGGAGTATGTCCAGTCTCTTGTATTTAAAAGTGTGTCACACTTCCATGTCTACTATTTTCCATTCAGAAAAGAATAGTTGCCTCAGTAGTTAGAGGAACATTAGGAAGTGTTATGCAAGAATAAATTATAATTTTCTGACTCAGACTGACTTGGTGAATGAGACCAAACATAATGTATAAATAAAGTGAGAAATAATCTTTACTAAACAGAATCAAAATCAGACTTAACAAGAACATAGGACACTGGATAGTGCTATTCTTACCCATAAAGCAGATTTGACCAAGATCTCAAGACAATGTGAACAGTGCAGAATTATGAAAAAACTGTAAAAGAGCCTGGGAGTATACCTCCCAGAGTTCATACACTACCTACATTACTGTTTGAGAACATTTTCTCATAGTATCACACCTGACTCCAATGGTAGATTTGACTAGGTATTTATTGTGAAATAATTCTGAGTTTTCTAACTTTGAATGAATTTGAGAAAGAAAGAGACTGGACATAATGTAAATCACACAGTGAAAACAAATCTATATTTAAACTCAAAATCAATCAAAATAATTTGCATATTGGAGGAAGGATAATAACTTTACTAGATAGCTAACTCTCTAAACTTTCCTAACAACTTACAAAGAGGTTTATTAAGAACTAGTTAACATTATAGATTAAATCTTAAGATAGTATAGCTAATCACAAAAAGAAGTTAAATTTCAATTACCAAACTAAGAGCTTGAGAGAGAGAACTAACTAATTTTGTAATGCTATATTCTCAAGATGAATGCATCACCTGTATTACTGTTGGTTCATCCCATTGAAACATAAGGGAGCTGCCAACATCCTTACACAATGTACAGTATTAAAGAAATACTACTTACCATGGGCAGACCAGGTTACCTCAAAAGAATGACAAAGAACAAAGGTGCTAGTATGAAAGCAACTTAATATCTTTTTGATCACCTGTTATGTGAAAACTGCACATACCAATAATTGACAAATTTCAGATAAGACTACAATACTTTATTAAAATAAGAAGGTAGAAAATGCATGGTATGAATTTATACCACAATGCCAAATGGAATGACCCAGAATACTGAATAACTGGAATGCAATTGATTTAGTCACATATCATGACCAATATTAGATAAAAATTGTATTCTCTCTCTCTTTCTAAGTACCATAACCAAACAGGACAATATAACTTCTACAAAGTTCTAAAGTTTACACTAGAGGGTGCAACATAGCATAAGGGGAGCATAATACTTGTATTTTATTGCTATCATGTCTATTTGTAAGTTTGGATTGAGTTATAAACTAATAAGTAGCCTACAATTATAAAAAACCTGGTGTAAAATTTTTCTTGACTAACTGTTTATGCTGCAACTAAAAATCAAACATTAAATGACTGTCAAACCTTGAAAGTTTGGGATGAAATGAGTTTACACAAACAAAACTTGGCAGACTTGTGTACTTTGATATATTATATTAAGATTGATCATTCCTTTTTTAGGTAAGCAAAGTTTCATACTGAAATTACAAATTTTAAGAATAATTAAAACGTTTTATCCACAACTTCAGCAACAAATGATATTCAAATCACCATTCAAAATATAAAATCTATATTCCAATCTAAAGACCTATTACCTGCTCATATACATTCCAGGATCATATATAAATACACATGTGGTGACTGTAATGCCACTTACACTGGCAAAACTATAAGCCAATTACACCTGCGAGCCTGCAATCATATGAGAGTATCAAAAATTAAATGTTTGTTACTGAACATACACGTGTCAAGTGTTCGTTGTTGCTGCCATCGTTCTGTTGTTCATCATTAAACTTTGATCAAGTAGCCAGTCAAGCTCTTCTGAGGCTAAACTTAAGATTACTAGTTTGTCCTTCAGAGCACTGACTGATTACTTTCAATGAAGATAAAGCTTTAAGGCCCAAATCTTTCCAGAACTGTAGGTGTTGCCATTAGAGACAAACTGACAAGCAAACTGACTTACAAGCATACTCCTCTTCAGAACCATAGGAGCTGTCATTAGAGACAAAATGATGCAAGCTGGTATGCCTATAGCCCTTCATTCTTTTGCAATCAGAATTATATGGGTTATAAATTACCCTTTCACATATTTAATATCACCACATGGTAGGATCTAACTGGGACACTTCAATTAACTGTTTCATTACTTGAAGTTTGCTAGCTACTTATATAATACACTACCACTCTTTTGTCTCAAGTATGCTGTTCATGTGAATGAAAAGACACCTACTAATTATCCTGATCCAGGTCTCTTGCTATTTCTATGAATACAATGGTCCTGAGGAAACAACAAACAGAAGGGAGTGGAATTGATACAAAAGATGTTTTTCCCATATTGGGATCATAAAAACTTGAATCTCTTGAATGTCATACACAAACATGTTATAAAAAGTTTTTATATCTATTCATTCTATTGCTTACAGTCTCTTAATCTCATTAATATGGGTCTTGTGATTGCAGAAACAAAAACAGTATAGACACTACCAAAGGCCACAGTAAGCTATATTAACTAAAATGTGTTCCTCTATCTTTATGTGCCAGATGTGTACAGAAGGGAAGTTACCATCTCATAAGTTCTATTTGGGATATGAAGGCCAGATTTTTGCTAAAACCTTTGAAGTCTCAGGATTTTGGCACTCTATTATTTTTCCATTAGGTACCTAACCAAAATGGAAGTTGATAAAAAGACTGTTCAACACCAGTATTTCTAGGTATAGAGATTCTACTCCACATGAGTCTACATGAAAGTCTGTCACCCACACTTTAATCCAAAGACAAAACTTCTCCAAGAATCAATGTTACTCATTTCTGTGAAGAAAACTGGTTTAAATAAAAAAAATATTTTGTATATGCATCTTTTCCTAAAGTTCTGTAAAGGTGATAGCATATTTTCTCTTTGTAGCATCAATAGGTGCCACATGTCACACCTTCATTAACCTCTTTATGAAGAAATATTATCTTAAACATAATATTTACATTTAAATTTTATGATACTTTAACTAATCCTTGTTAAAAAAAAATTAGATCTTTAAATATCCTAGTAGTTAACATACACTGCATTACACATACTCATCTAAACCAGGAATTAAAGGTGATTTCTGTAAAGTGTTGTACAGTTCTTCAACATCCTTTTCAGCTGCAGAACAATGGAAGAAAAACATATCCAGCACAACATTTAGTCGTTCTTTTCTTTCTTTTGTTTCTTGGAAAAGCTTATCAAAAATAAAGAAATGTTTTTAAAATTGATTATTGATTTGGCTTTACTACACACATGCATAAAAAAAGAAAGTTCATTTTTACTTCATTAGAAATCTTTGATAATACTTTTATATATGGACAGTAATGTACTACTAATATTTTTGTTATTCTCAAATTTCATCTGCCTGGTCTCTAAACTTTCTCAACAACATTTACTCAAGCCTTTTCTCTTTTTCAGTTCTTGTTCAAGGACTGTCACAGTGTGAATCCATTCCATCAGTACAAAAGCTTTTTTATATCTAGATTGTGCCATGACATTTTTTGAAAATTTGTTGTTCTTTATGGTTTTAGTAAATATGAAGAAACAATTCACACACACAATAAACACTAAATAATAAAGGCACATTTAATTATAGGCCTCTTTGAATACATATGTTTGGCATGTAAGGGGATAATTTGTTTTACCTAAACAGAAATAAATATTTTTACTTGCCATAAAACATTAATATTAGACCTATTCCATTTTTAAACAATTCATTCTTAACTTAGTCCTTTAAGGATTTTCAAGAATTAGAAGAGTGTATAATAATAGTATTCAAACCATGCTATAGTTAACATATACATTGTTAACGATGCATTTCATTCAATCTAGAGATTTTCAGGCTGGCTGGGTACAACAAACACAGCAGTGGTTGGAACACTATTTATAAAAGCCACCCTTTAACAGAGTGAAACTTAAAAAATTGGCTTTTCCTGAATAAAACTGCATCATGAGATACTGTGATATTTAAAAGTTTGAGATGGACCTAGCATTCATATGGTTACCCCTGATTTCAGCAACAATGAGAAACTCGTGGATCTAGCAATTGCAAGGAACAGTTGAAATGATTTTTACAGATAGAAAGGAAGAGGCAAGATTTATGTTGAAGGTAAACAACAAAATAATAACCTTATGAACAGACGATAACCAAAGAATGAAGTGATGTTACATACTGGCATGACTGTCTAGTGGAAAATCCTGTTCTTGTTAAAAGTTGAAACAGTAAGAGAATTATTTTGTACTTAAACGAAAAAAAAAGAAAGTAAATCTAATGGAATAAAAGTTTTACTATTTGTCTAGTAAATGAAAGAAATGACATAAATTATCAGCAATATGACTCTAAGATGAGTCTTCACAGCTATACACTTAGCCTTGGCTCTTTCAAGATGGAAAGAAAACTGCTTAAAAACATCAAAATTGCTCTTACAACCCACATTCTTTCTCCATATCTCACCAGTAATTAGAGGCATCTCCATTCAATTTGACATCTGTGAAACAGTCCACATACACAGCTATTGCATAAAACAGTACAAAGACTACTTGACAAAATTCTGATGTGGAGAATAGCATCTAGGGTTGAATTAGTACATGACCTCAAACAGATTTACCTTGTATCAAATTACAACTCTACAAAAATCTTGAAAATATGAATTATGTGCTGTAAGAGAGAGAGAGTGAGATGGTTGTATCTGAATACCACAACATATCTTAAATTGTGATGTTTTCAGAAACTACTGGAAAGAGTACAACTAATAATTTGAAGAAAATATGTATCAAGGAAAATTATACTTTATTTTAACCAGGGTAAGAAGAGTTTTTTTTTTTTTAACAATAACCACTTAATTCCAAAGCACAGGATACAAAACAAAATATATCAGTTGTTACTGTAAACAACTTTTGTATGTCAGAAGAATTTTTGGGGAGTTGTGACCACTATTTCATATAACCAAACACTGAAATATATGTATATAAACAAAACTTTTTATTAAACATACATAAAATAATAAAAATAATCAAACATTTATGACATGTTAAATCTTTAATAAAAATTCACAGGACTAACAAAAATACAAACTTTACTATGCACAAAGACAAATTAAGGGACCATTATAAAATTTGATGATATATATATATATCTTGAAACCATGATGATTATATATCCAGATAAAAAATCTACATTTATTTTGAATTTCCTCCCTTTTGAAGTATTGTGTATTTAATTGGTGCATCTCATTAATTAGTTAATCTCATTGTGTTTAGCGTAGCCTACCTGCTACTTAGCCTGTGTTGAAGACCTTGTTTAATTTAAGAGTTTATAAGTCCATACATTCTCTATCTCAGAAGTAGTCTAAGATATTCATGTTGTTTATTCTGAACCTCAGGGTTAGTAATATCAAATTTTCCAGCCCAGTGAGTTAACCCAATGAAATTATAAAGTGCAAAATTACTAAAATGTACAAAAAACAAGTATTTAAAAGTAACAGAAAAAATAATGTTAATAATATCATGTTACAGAAGTAGATGGTCTGAGAGGTTACTTAATAGTGTGTTTACCATTTCATTATCAATATTCTAGAACTGCGATAATTATGTTTATTCAGGCAATTCGTATAATTCAATTTCTAACATTCCAAAATGTTAGATGAAAGCTTTTGTGTATAAACATAAAAGTAAAGATTGAAGAATGAGCAAACTTAACAGAATTAGAAATATCTAAAACCATACACTAAAAAACTAAAAGACAGCTTCATCCTTGAAAGATAAAACATTGCATTTGATGAAAACAAATCTTGACTAATTAGATTCTGAATTCAATTTGTCTTATAGTTTGAAAAAAAAGTTAAATGTTCTGCTAATAAGCAAACTTGAAAAAACATAATATTACTTTATCTTAATACTGGAATGAGAGAAGTTACACATTAAAGACTTGCTCTATTCAAACCCATCAATGAATCTCACCACAAGCATGTCTGGTTATTTCAAAACAACATATGGACCAGACAAACCTATATATACAAGCTGAATTGTACTTGAGACTTCTTTAATTTGAACTGTATTCCAGTTGGTACATTCAATTTGTTTCTTACACTAAAATTCAAGTAGGACTACATCCTTAGAATCATACAGTATTTATAAATAGAAGCTAAAAAATATCATATATATGTGAGAAAAGTACAAAAATTAGCACAATATTTTTTTAGTCTTTTTTTTTAAACCTATATGATGATACAGCCACATTAGTCTTAATAAAAGTTATAACAAATTGATATGATCTATCATGGGTTGACAAGGCTACTGATTATGTCACACAGATAACTTTATAAGAAACTTTAAATAACCACCTTACAGAACAATGGAGTCTATCATCTTAAGGTTATCCTTAACTTCAACCTTTAAACAGTAACTGTCTTTTTTACTGGTGAGCACTGCTTTTTAGATTATGACTCTGGCCAGCTCAGAAGCATTTAAAGTCTCCAAACATGTTGGATGAAACCAATTAAAAACCCACCTTTGAATAATGTAAAGCCAGTGCACAATATTTTGCAAACTTTTCCATTGCTTCTTGATCTAAAAAACAAAAAATATATTAACTATTTTAAGTGTATAAGTTTTTACAAACCAAAAATAAACTCTTACTCATACAATTTTTATTGTTACATAATATCTTATGACTTAGAAAATTCTGAATAATCAAACCTTTGATATTGTACCAAATGTTGGACTAAAAATAAAGACGTTTTCCTTTATTTATGTGCATTTAAGTATGTATAATAGTTTATTAATACTGTAACTTAATAAAAGTTATACAATTTATTTTCTTTTTACATTTATTTTTAATCATATAACCGTGTACACAAAATTAATATTATCATTAATATATACATATATATATCAAATAACTAAAAAGTGGTTATTAATGCTGCTTTTACAACATATATTTCTGAACAAAAGATGTCAATGATAAGAACGCGTTTTTGCTTTTACTTAGATATCATAATTACTAAAAATAAAGTTGCAATGTTTAGTTTAACAATACATAATTTTTACAAGATAAATAAAAAATTGGGAATTTAAAAAACTGCAAATAGGGATCTTAAAAAAAGTAAGGAAACAAGGGTGGAGATACTGCAGATATTATTTACTCAAACTACAAATCCTATTTTGGCTCCATGTTGTTACCTAGAACTACATTTGGTGGAGTCAAAATAGACATTTGTAGTTTGACTAAATAATATCTACAGTATCTCCACCCTTGTTTCCTTACTTATTTTTAAGATCCTTATTTGCAAGTTATAAATTCCCAATTTTTTATTTATCTTGTTTGCTGGCTTTTTTTATACTCGTGCTATTATGAACCACTAGGGGTTACTAGAATATAGGGTTGGCTCCCTAAAAACACCATTTGTACAGTGTACAAAGCATTGAGTATCTACATGTTACAGTCACCTAATGTGCATCTATTATTGGCTGGTACTTCTTTTTCACCCTGAACTTAAGCTAATAAAAGGACACCATTTATTTGTAAGAAAGCTAACTTCAAGAGGTAGTGCTAACATCGTTTACACTAGAATTATGGTGTTTTTTAGCTGATTTTTCAATACCCCTAAGACTTTTGCAGTACCTTATTTAGTATTCTACAAAAGGTTTAGGTGTAATATACTTAGCAATTTTTGCTGTTGGCTGGCAAAAGAAAAATAATAACAACAATATGAACAATAGAGCAGATTTTATATTCATTTTAAATATCAGATGGTTTATTTTTCTGAATTTTTTTAATTCATATAGCTTTTAGTATTGTAAAGGAAGATTTTGAGTGTTGTTTCGAGAACAAGTTTGTTTTCTAAGGTGGTTTTCACCATGTGCTCTATTAAAGTGTTTTGTCAAAACCTGGTCGATCCCTATTATGAACCACTATCATGGTTCATGATAGTATATAATTTTTAAAAAGTTTATTGTAAAAATATTGTTTCATCATACTGCTTATTATTTCAAACTCTTCTGCATTGTTTTTTCACAGTGATAATACATAAAGCCTAGCTGAATGTAAAACTGTCAACACTAACATACATGGAAGCCTGATCTAATTTATGTTAGGTCACTTAAACTAACATTTCTAGTTGGCTATTTATGATAATTTCTTTGTCTTAATTATCATGCAAGTCAATCTATGAAGTGATTTTCCATTTTTTTTTTATCATGGATAAGACAATATTCATAAAATTCTGTTAAATTACACACTGTTTAAATCCTGTTCTATGATGAATTATTAAAAATGAATACTTTCATATTACAAAGTATTCTATTTTTTATTACATTTCACGCACTCATACTATTTAACAATAAGTATGAGTAACAGTCACATGGAATTTGAGCTTGCAAAGCTCACTTGGAATACTTCTAAGATTCTGGGTTCAAATCCCAGGCAAAGCAGATTGCTAATTTGCATCTTGGATTTAACATATCATCATCAAGCTAGTGGTTGTAATATATCTAACGTTATCTGAGAAGTGTAATAAATGATTTAATGAAGTATGACTTATTAAGCAATTAGACTCATTTTGGATATAAATTTGTTTTTCATATAAACAGAAATGTTGTGAGTTTGAAGTTCCTGCATAGGATTAGCTAGCTCTATGATCTTTAATTTCAGTAGTTAATAGGGAAAAGTCCTTGTTCTGGCAATTTTCTCTGCATTGTAATTCATTTTAATTTTTGTATTATTCATACTGTCTACACCTTTGATATATACTCATAATGTATGGTAATCAGTGTCATCAGGTCATATGGGCATGAGCCCCTAAATATGTTCAGAACTTGAAAGCATAAGAAATGAGGAAGCTTTTGGCCATCATTTTGCAACAGCTGAAAGAACAGCACATAGAACTTATTTCACTTACTCAGAACAGTTTCCTACACATTGCATCTAGATTTAAAACTGAAGTCATATTAACTAGCAAGGATCATCAGCATGCCACATTCTTTTATGAAGTATTGGATTTGATGCTGAATTCTCTTGATGTTGTCCAATCATTGTTTAGTGTCTGAAAATGCAGAGAAATTTCATATGTTGCAAACCTTGGTGGACTTCTTTGTTGCCAGTGTTGACTGTGAACTTCTGGATTCTGAATAGAAGCTTTTAGCTCCATCACTTGCAGAAGTTGTCTACTTGCATATGGCAAAGAAGGTGTTCAAAGAGATGTTTTCAAACTTAAACTCTCTTTCATTGTTTGATTTTAACATCTTATTCTTGTGGTCACTTCTTCCTGGAATTGAAGCTCACCAAAAGCAAACTTTGTAGTACAGTGGTAAAGCAGCTTTCTCAGTGTAGTGTGTTTGGTTAAGTTAGAAAAAAGTCAATAACATATACGATATTCATGGTTGTTTCTGGAATCATTTTGTTGTTGATCATCAATAAAGACAGCCTTTCACTTTTTCCTTGTATAATGTTTTCACTGCACATATTGTGTGCACAACTGTGTTACATGCACTATATATATTAAATTGTATACTATACTTAAATTTAGATACATATACAGAATGATATTTTGAAATACACTATGATGCCTCCTCTTAGTGTACAACCTGTCCCTTACTTTGTAGAAAAACATGCAATTTTTACATTCACATAGCTGGATTTAATTAGAGTTAATTTTGTAAAGAATATTTGTTCTGAGAGCAAAGTCACATTAAGCTATCTGCTGTGTCCACCACAGGGAACTGAACCCTGAATTTTAGCATTGTCAGATCATAAATTTACCACTGTCCTACTCACTGGGGGACTGTAAAGAAGGAAATAAAATAAAAGAGCAGGTACCTCAAAATACCAGGGCACATTACATAATGACCCACCCTATGATTTATGCCCTGGTGTTGGATATTTGTTTGTGTCTATCTGGCTTAACCTCAATTTTGCCAGCCTCACGTGCTTAAAAAAAAGAGAAATGGAGCACATGTGCATGCTCAAGTCCACAACATCCAACGTCTTTAGCACCTTTTGCTGTCTGCAGCTAGAAGTGGGAAGATGGTTGCTCACAGAAATAATAATTAGTAAAAAAAGATAATAATTAGAGTATTATACATCAAGGGAAAAGATGGCAAAACTGTCCTTTGAACCTGGCATTCCAGCCCCCAATATGATGTCTGAACATAAATACCAAAATATTAAGGTACTACTATATTAAGCCCAACCTTCTGCTATCAGTATAGCTTTTATCCTCACCCTTCTATGCCACTATGTGGATCCATATATATTACAGAAAATACATCTACATGTTTTGACTTATTGATATGAGCAATAAACATAATTGGGTATTTGACCCCCCCCCCACAATTTCTTGGGTATCTAATGCCTTTGAAGGTAATTAAAATACATAAAGATAGTGTTGCTGTTGTATATGAGAACTGTTCCTATTACTATTTCTAAAACAAATATTGCAAATTTTATAATTGACAAAAACAAAACTAACACACAGATTTTCAGTACATAAAGAAAAAAATCTGATTCTCAGTACATACCATATTCTGTAAAACAGATTCCCGACTTTTTATTGATCATTTGAAGCACTCCAACAACATTTCCCTCAGTCTTAACAGCACTACATAAGAGGTTTTTGGTCAAATAGCCAGTTTTATTGTCTACTGTACTGTTTCAAAAGAAAAAAAAACATTTGCTGTGAGCATATCCTCAACAGGAATAACAAAAACAAATCATTTCAAGAACAGTTAACCTACATATATGTAATAATATTTCCACAACACATAGTTTTAAGTCTATAATAATACTGTATATTATTGGGTCTACAGTGTTGGTATAAGGTAACAAAGTTATCTTAAGACCAGAAACATTTTTTAAATAAACATTTATCATAAGCCATTTAAAATAAAACAAGAAACTTTAATTATTTTCTTTATATATGTTCCTTTTCGAAAACAAAATTTAGTGGATGACTGACCAAATAAATTCTAATAACTTAGTTTTTAATCATACTGAAGATATTTGAACTAAACTTCATTCTGATCTGAAAATTGCTGAATAAATCTTTATTCTAATCTTACCAAGGATATATAGTGTACAGTAATAAAATTATTCAATTTTAAAATTAAAAAAAAACTCCTAAGTTTCCAGTGATATTATATATTTCACAATACACTGAATGAAGATAAAGTTCTAAGACCAAGTTAATTAAAAGAAAAATCTTACCTCAAAAACCTTGGGTCTGAATAACAATCAATGGCATTTACAGTTGAACCAGTTATGGCAACATAACCAGCAATTCCTTTACCCAAAGGAACCCTGAACAACAAAAATATAAGTGTAGGAAGAGCGAATGCCCTCTAGCTAAATCTTAAACATTCAACAAAATATTTAACACATTAACACTTGCATAATATGTTCCAACCTATAAACTTTAAAATTAGTCTACAAAAGATACACTGTTTTGGTTAATGAAAGCCACAAAGGGCTTTGGCTACCTTCTATCATTCAAATGAATAATGACCCCATTTAAAGACTTGATATCTGCTATTCTGGAATGAACCCCAAGCACCACCAATCTGACCAATCATATGAAAACTGAAAATGAAGAAAATGTTCAACAATGGCCATTTGACTTTTAATCACTTCCTTATTTAAAAAAGGATTAGTAGAGACCTCAAATTGTGTCATGTCACCAATCTTTAAGCAGCTCAGTTCAGAACCTCATTTACACATAGGAATTAGTTTATAAAACATATGACTTAAGTAATTTTGTAGAATAAACTATAATGAAAACTAACAGCTTAAGATAATATTTTCAATTAACTTTATTTCTTGAACTTTGATGGTTTTTAATAAATCTGTAACTTAGTTCAAAAAATATTATCAACCTTTATGAATTATGACAAACAGTTTGGATGACACCATCAAAGGTTCAACCTTACATTTGGTTCTACTAGATTTTGTGTGTATGTCTGGCTTATAGGCTCTACTGAGCAATGATGTATTACAGAAACACACACATTATACAGTCCCACAGAAACCTGAGCTTCCCAGTGACTACTGCTGTTTTCAGCAGCTCACCTATACTTGTGGAAATGTTTTTGGCTGTTTAGTAGTCATCACTCTACAAAAAGATGTGTTTGGCTTTGCCTTGAAGTAACCCTCTTTCTTCAAGCAAGGAGACATGAACATCTTGACAACTGGAGAGACCCCAGAAGAAAATGACAGCAGAAAACTATGATGCACAAGGATTACTAGATTCTGTATTGACCTCAGGTACTGGAAAATGATTCAGAGCATTGTCAGTATGCTTAAATTCTAGATGAAAGGCTCTTGACTGCTCTAAAAGTCTGTAGGATCAAAGCTAGTTGTTGGTTTCTCCACCTGATGGTATTTAAGCTTTTCCTTGTGAGCATCATACACTATAGGCAATTTTTCTCTCTTCTTGGCCACAGGTAATTTTTACCAGTGCCTAGCAATACCTGGGCTAAAAGTTTCAAAGAAGACATTACAATAAGTTTTGGGATATCCATGCTGATCATTGCAACTGTGACCAGTCTTGTCCAACCTATACTATGTACCATTAGAGGTCAAACCAAAGTAAATTGGGTTTCTCCTAAATACTTCTAAGCCTCTCAGTTTCAAGAATGGGTCAAGAATAAACACATAGCTCTTACCATGAAACTGCCTTTCTATGATCACAATTTACAAACTTTACATAATTAGTCAAACTGAAAAAAAAAAGAACATTCAAAATAGATTTTGTTGTAAGAAACCAAAGATCATGACAGCAAAATGTGATTTAATAACTTAATATGTTATATTCAGGTATATTTATCTCCAACAGAAAAATGTCAAGTATCTGCAATACCTCCAGGTTCAGGAAATGTTAAGTAAAGACGAAGTACAAGTACACAAATAAAAAACAATATTTATTTATACAGCATATAAATGCTGGGGTGGTCTTCATCAAACTGGCCAGCTTTTATATTCATTATCTGGAAATTCTCTGGATGCTGTAGCTGGAGAGAGCACATCTGTATGAGACTGTTACCAGAATCAGAATCATGATAATACCACACTTTGAAGCCAAAGCAAAGTCATAGTGCAGTATACTATAATCCTAGATTACTTAAATCAATGATCGTTCACATTATAAGCATATTCAAGGAAGATTAAATCTTGTGTTTCTTTGTACAAGTATCTGTACCATCCCTTGAAATGAGTGTGACTTCACTGCATGATGACATCACATAGATACAAGGTCATGAACATATATATATATAAGCTTTTACAATATACTGTTATACTAAGTAATCTTTGTCTGAGCTAAAGAATTAACATAAGGTTACAATCTTTTAACACTGTTTACAAAGATGTTAGCTAATTGCATGCAGAACAGCTGTATGAAAAGTTAGAAAATTTACCTCAATATATCTACATAAAAATATATTTTTCCTAGTTATAAGAGGGTAAATTAACAATTCTTTGAAATTTAATAGAAGCTGTGATCTAATGTATGCTCTCTATATAATCCTAATCCATATAAGAAGCAAGTTAACTATATGACTCTACTATTATGCTAATAAACAGTTGCTTAATTGATCCTAAGAATTTACAGAAACCAATTTCAAATTATAGTGTGATTTTATTATGCAAAGTTGACTAATCATAAGTCAACTGAAAATGCCTATGTTCATAGAATATTAACTTAGCCTTGGAATATGTAGATACCTACCACTTAAGGATTATTCTTAGAAAGTTAAGTGTTAAATAAGAAATGAAAATCATTCCTTTGCTCATCAAAACAACAAAATTTGTTTATTTGTTTGTTGTTAAGCAGAAAATTACACATTCAACCACCTGTGCTGTGCTTATAACAGATATTAAAATCCATCTGTTAGTACTACAAGTCTTCAGGCTTACCGCTGAGTCACTATGGCACCTGTAAAATCTTATAATGTTTTTCTAGTCAAACAGAAGTCTGTAGAATTAAAATATCACGTTCTAAAATAAATAAAGATACACAAGGAAACTTGGGTGGAGAGGGATAAGAAGCTTTGGTATTCCAAGGATTATCTTAACATAAGTTTACATGATCTAAAGATTTGTGGACCTTTTATGCAGAAGGAAAGATGTAGTGATTTGATGTATGCAAAGTGAGAGACAAGACATGATGTAAAAATAAACTGAAAACAAATATTATTTCCTTAAAATAAAAAGTGAAGTCAGAGGCATGTGAACTGAACAAGTAGTTGAGAACTACTATGATGTAGTGACATGTAGGAAAAATATTAAATATTTCAATAAAAGAAAATAAGAATAAACTTTAATTGAAAGTGAACTTTATTCAAATAAAAGAGGAGGATATATACACACAAGCTAACAATTAAGAAACAATGGCCATGATACTTTACTGCAAGTCCTGTCTCTTTCAAGATAGAAATAAATCTAGCTGAAAAATTCTAAAACTGCTCTCATATTCTACTTCGATGATGAGGAATCCATTTTGAGACTAATAATTTTTGGAGACGGCTTGAATCGGTAATGAAGAAAAACTTTAATATAAGTTTAACATAACAGCCAATGTACAACGTTTCGACAAGGTTTTGTACCT